TGGAATTATTTCTGTGCCCTTCATAGTGCCACAGATATCCAAGGAAGAGTTACTCTCACGATTTCCAGATGAAATACGAGCATGACACAGTAACCTCTATGAGATAAAGAAATTCCTCAAATAGCCAAGAAATGGTTCTTAATTTGTGGAAAGGAATGTTCATGGGAGATGCTATCAGAATTACCCAGGGGAAAGAGCTGGTTATTTTAAATATATAGTTGCCCCTGCCCTGATTTTTTTCACCTGCTTACAATGATCTGTTACTGATAAGTCTGTTACATTAAAAAGGAAAACATGAGGGAAAAATAGCAGCAAACTATTTCAGAGATAATTCTTAAGGTATAGATCTGATGAAATTGATCATAATAACCACTAATAAAAATACACTTATCAAATAATGTACTTACTATCAGACAAGTATGCAGCTGAGTTTTATTTTTTTGGATGTATTAATATTTTAATTCTAGTAAGGCAATAAGAAGTGAATATTCCTATTATTTTCAACATGCAAAACAGAAAATGAGGCACAGATAAGTAACCTGTCCAAGATCACAGCTTCCCTTTTTAAAATATTACTTAAATGCAGAAACTCCAATAACTCCTTAACCAGCATTCCAGGTCCTCTATACAATACCTCCTACTTCTGTTAGCAAGTGTCTCAATCAATTGCTCTCTTGTATAGCAGCAGAACTCCATGTAAAAACAGGCTATACTCAGTCTTCAATCCTTTTCTAATTTTAATTAGCCCTATCACTTTACCTAATACAATTAGCCCTATCGCTTTACTTAAACTGCTCAGCAAAGTCAACAATGACCTCCACACGACCAGGTCCAGGTCTGGAGGCCAATTCTCAGTCTTTAGTTTATTTGAGCCCTAAGTAGCATCCAATATTACATTCACTCCCTTCTCTTTGATAATCTTTCTTTATTGGCTCTGTCATACCAAAATCTTTGCATATCTCAATTTCTTTTCAATCTCTCTGTTGGTTCCTTTCCTTCTTCTTAACCTTAAAGGATGGAGGGACCAGCAGTTAGCGTAATGGCTATGTCACTGGACTCCCACGTAGTTGACCGCAGTTCGCATCCTGGACCCGGTGGCTTAAAACTCACGCCAGGCGCATTTGCGTTCATGCCCAAGATCCCGAGAGGAGAATGGAGGAGAAGGGATTGCGGCGTGACTATCCTCCCGGGGGGGGCGGGGGGTGATTTCACGCTTTCTATCTCTATGTCTCTTCCTGTCTGTCTATAGCAAAAACCTTTCCCCTCCCCCCCAAAAAAAATTGGAATAAAAAAAGGATGGGTAGCTCCAAGGTTCGAGGAGAATGGAGGAGAACTTGGGGGGGCTATAGATAGGGCACGTGTGCTCACCAGAAAGACAGAGAGAGACAGAGAGATAGAAAGCGTGAAATCACCCCCCGCCCCCCCCGGGAGGATAGTCACGCCGCAATCCCTTCTCCTCCATTCTCCTCTCGGGATCTTGGGCATGAACGCAAATGCGCCTGGCGTGAGTTTTAAGCCACCGGGTCCAGGATGCGAACTGCGGTCAACTACGTGGGAGTCCAGTGACATAGCCATTACGCTAACTGCTGGTCCCCGGGGTTCAGATCTTAATGATTTTCTCTACTACATTCACACTCACTCCCTTGCTGAGCTCAGGCAATGTTACAGTATAGCTTTACAGTCCACATGCATGCTGAAGACCATGGCCCAGACCTCTCCCCTGGACTTTTGCCCATGTAACTGTTTAATGAAGATTTGCCACTTAGATATTTAATTGGTACCTCAAATTTAATACACCCATGACTGAACTACTGAAAGCTTCCTTTCTCTTAATACCTACTTAAATGCCACTGTCCCTATTACTGTTGTTGGAGACTCCATCCTTCCAACTGCTCAAGTCGAAAATTTTGTAACTTGCCTGCATTAAAAGTGTATTCTCTTTCTTTCATACCAGAAACCTTATAGAAGTTACCTTCAAAAGCATATCCCGAATCCGAGCACTTCTAATGATCTCATAGCTTCGGCCTTCACCAAAAGTGCCCTGTTTCACTCTCAGAAAAGTCCTAATTTGGGGACCAGCAGTTAGCATAATGGCTATGTCGCTGGACTCCCACATAGTTGACTGCTGTTCAAGTCCCAGACCCGGCGGCTTAAACTCACGCTGGGCACGTGTGTGTGCATGCCCAAGATCCCGAGAGGAGAATGGAGAAGGGATTGTGGTGTGGCCATCCCCCTTGAGGGGTGATTTCTTGCTTTCTGTCTCTCTGTCTCTGTCTGTCTGTCTGGCGAGCACACACACCCTATAGCAAAAACCTCTCCAAAAAAAAAAAAAAAAGAAAAGTCCTAATTTGAACAAAAAATATAGTCATCTGAACACAAGGCCGTTCATGATCTCATTCCCACCCCTTCTCCCTGCATTGCCTCTCTGGCCTCATCTATCACTTTCACTGAGTCCACTCCAGCCAAGCTGATGTCCTGGCCAAGCTCCGGCAAACAGAGCACACTCCTGCTTTGGATCTTTGTTCTAGTTGTTCCCTTTGTCTAGCACGCTCTTCTTTCAGAAATCCACGTGGCAAGTTCCTCACTTCCTTCAGTCTTGGCTTAGTACCTCACTATTCAATGAGACTCCGGCTTAACACTTCAGGGAGACTATTCCCCCCCACCTCTCATCTCATTCAATAGCTCTTCTATGTTCTGTCCCGTTGCACCTACCACCTTTCAACACGGTATAGAATTTTATCTCCTTATTAATTCATTTCTTTTTATTCATGACTTGTCTCCCTCCACTTAAAGGTAAGCTCTTTGAGGCCATGACTTTTTATTATTTTGTTCAGTGGTATAGCTTGAGGGTAGAACATACCTAGCACATATATTGATGGCCCAATAAATATAGGTTTAAAGAAATAAACATGGACACACTCAAAGACAAAAGCCATTATGCATTCTTATCTTATATTCTGATTATTCTTCTGATTTCCCTGATGTAATACCTTGTCTCTTGTCATAATCCTTCTGCTTGAAAGAGACACTGACAAAAGTCTCCCTTACCTCTTTCCTTCCCCATTCAATAGGTTAAGTGTACCAAGAGATTGAACATACAAACTCTAAAATTATTGAAGGTTGAGAATCCTTAATCTGAAATCCAAAGTGCTCCAAAATATGAACTTTTTGAGTACAGACATCATGCCACAAGTGATAAATTCTACACCTGACTTTACAATCAAAACACCACAAAATACTGTATAAAATACTGCATAAAATACTGTATAAAACTACCTTCAGGTATGTATCTAATCTATATGAAACATAAGTTAATTTCATGCTTAGATTTGGGTCCCATCTCTATGATAGCTCATTATGCATATGTCTATATTCTAAAATCTGAACAAACCTGAAATCCAAAACACTTCTGGTGCCAAGCATTTTAGATAAGGAAAATTCAACCTGTATTCACAATTTCAGAAATGTTCATTAAAGTGAGAGATCCGCAATGCTATTACCTCAACTGCCTTGCAAGTGCCTGGCTGAGACATAGTCGCTTAACAATGAACTCAAATTCATTTTTAAAAGTTCCCATATTTTAGAGTCAAAAGACTCCCTGACCAATACTGCCACCTACCGATGAGTAGGTGAGTAATCAGGACAATCAAAGTGTAAATCAGTTTAACAGAAACTAGGAAAAGACAATAATAAAAAATCCTATGAAGTCAGTAAAATAAACTGTTTTTCCCGAAGAGTGCTAACAAGGAATTTACAGTGGATTCTACAGCTGCATTAAGCAAAGAGTTTGCAAGTACAAAGAATGACAATGACCTCCTTCAGAAAAGAGGAAACATCACCAAAACATGAACATAGCATCTATAAATACCAGTTCTTCAACTTTTCACCACCAACTCTCTTAAGAATTAAGATGTTTGAGACTCAAAGAAAATATATTTGTTTTAATTTTTCCTCATGACAAACAAATGCAAACAAGCCTACCCACAGTTTTAAAATGCACTACCAGAAAAGGAAACACACACACACACACACACACACACAGCAAAAGCTAATGCTTTTGAGTTAATACCAGTACATTTGTATTCAAGGCTCTACATTATTAAGTTTCTTCTCTTTAGAAGTACAGATAGAAATTTTTTTGGTTATTTAAATGCAATATTTTTCAGTGTCAATGAATATATGGGTCCTGAATTCTAAGGAATACACAAAATAAAATGGCATTTTCAGTTTATTTTTATCAAAAAATCTGGTACTTTTTCATGATCAAAAACTTCTTGTATCCTCTCCTTTCCCCAGATAGGTAGTAAATAGTAAATATTATTGGCGTATTCTTTAGAATAACCATTTGTTTAAACATTGTATTCATTTGCCTTTTTATGAAGATAGACACCCTTAAAATGTTTTAAGCATTTTGTTTATCTTTTATATTAATTATTTCTAATTGAACCATTAATAAAATAGCATTTTGCTAATCATGGAATTGATATGTGTTGTCAAAATAAACAGAATACACAACGTATTTTGAAATTCCTAAAGAATAGAAATGTATGTAAAGAAAAAACTAAGAAAAGAAACAAGTTTATTTCTCTCACATGCTCTCTCACTTTAAGAAAATTACATGGGAGCAATATGTACAATGAAAGAGGAGTGACTTTGAACAACAAACATAGCCCATTTATCTATTTAAAATAACATTAATAAAAAAAGAAAAAGACTCATGAACACTTAAGATTAAAAGTAATTATTCCGAGAGAAGATCATTTAGAAAAAGACATTTAATTATAAAATTTCTCCTTAAATAAAAAAGCAATGGCACACAGTACCACAAAATTATTTAAGTGATCATATCCGCAGGCTGCTGTTGTAATGATATGCTAAAATTTTACGACTGCCCTCATTAACAGCATTTTCCCTAATTATAGTGGCATCCAGAGCTTCTAAGAATGTGTAATTTTTCCTAAAGTACGACTAAAAGTGTCATAAACACAGTTTGTGCAGCATTCACTTATATCACCTTTTATTTACTACACTCTCAACTCATAAAATATTTAACATTTCTCTCTCACTTCATTTCTCTTATTTACAGTACAGAGGCTCATTTCTTGTCACAATACGGTTTGTGCATTAAAATCCCTGGGAATAGTACTTTCCACAACATTTTAATGAGTTTACTCTGATTATTTAAAATAAGTACACAAACAAAAGCTTGTTCACATGACTATGTCATACCCAGAAGAATATTTTTTCCAGGAGACTTACTCAAGAGTTTAAAAAAAAAAAAAATCCCTCTTTAATAGAATACATTAATACATCCAACTATTAATGGATTATACCATCATGCATATTTATAATGCTAAGATGACAAAAGGTAAAGGCAGCTATGACTTTTTAAATTCCGTTTGGAAGAGTACAGCACACATGAAGTCATTTGGCTTTCATTCTCTTGGTATCCATAATCCAGTTATTCCACATGGGTGTATTTTATTTATTCTTAGTATATGAGCATTTAATGGTTCAGTAATAATTGGCAACGTCTGACAGTTCTATTTTCTTGATCTTGGATACAGTTCTGTGCACATATGTCAGATAAACGGAAAAAAATGCAAATCACTTCATGTGATACACCAGGAAGAAGTAGAATGTTACTGTTTGAACAAACAATCCAAAGAGATGAATACTAATACTCTACAGTGACAGGAATACTGTTAAATTAGGTCTGTTTTAATATGTGCCATCTTCAAAACTGGCCATACCTGGTTTTTGTTACCTTTGGGTTAAAAAACAACCTATTTGGGAAAAAGATAGCTATGAGGAGGTAAGAAAGCATATATTACAGTACATACAATTTTAAGAGAAAAAAGTGGGAAGAGAATATTATTTTCATATACACACACATATATTTATAAGACTATGTCATATAGGACACATTTCATAGAGTTTATAAAAATACGCAACAAACAAATTTAGCCCTTCTTCTCACTCCAGAACTATTTTCTAATAATAATAATTAACTTAAGTTCTGGCAGCAGCACGAATCTATAGTTTTTTAAGGCTGGGAGTGTCACTTTAATAGTTGGGTACAGTTGAGTGGTAAGAGTCCTGCCATTCTCTATTTACACTCTTCATCGAGCAAGAATTATTATTGAAGTCCTCATGGTTATCTGCAGCTTGTTAAGTCTTCTAGAGTGCTTTTGACTTTATAACCCACTCTGCATTTGGGTTGAGCTGATATAAGTCCTTCATGTAAGTGTTATCATCAAGGCAGCGCTCCCCTATTAAAGAGATATTGCATAAGTTTAAAACAGTGAAGATGTTAGAATGTGATTTTAATCTTAGCCCTAACAGTTAACTCTGAAGTAGCTCTCATCCTTTCCTGTTTCTCATAATGTTAGAAAGGATGGCCAAAATATTGGAAAAGTCCACTTGCTAGGCTTTCTCTAAGTGAACAGGTTTTGAATTAATTTCAGAAGCTGGAAATACTTTATATGATGGGCTTTTCAATAATTCCTGAAAAACTTACTAACTTTATTAAGAGAGGCAACAGCTTTGAATTTACCTAAGAAGCCACACTTAACTACTCAAGATATATTAATAGTAAAATGAAATATGAAATACATTAATATTTAAATAATTTTTACTAGTAACAGTTAATAATTCTAAGTTTCTAGATGAGCTGCAGTTTATTTACATCTTAAGACTGAACCTTTACATTCCTATATTTGCCTTTTTTAAGTCTAGGAAAATGTTCTACAAATCTGATTGCAAAACATCTTTAATTACCATTCTGAATAAAATAACAATACACTGATCTTTTAACATTTTGATTCTCATCAGGAGTCAAAAGAGAAAAAGTTTATTTTAAATTTAAAAAAAGAGATGAGTAAGATCCATGATAGCTATGAAAGGACAAAATAAAATATAAAACATAGTCAACATTAATTCATTTATCCTATTTCTAGTTCCTAAGTTATAAATATGAGTATAAGTGTGAATGTGTGTGTGCATAAAATATAGTAACAAGTTGACTGCAGCAAAAATAATTCCTGCTTTCACTAAAAATATCTAGTACTGTACTATAATAAAAATGTTATCTTGGCCTTAAAGAAGCTCGACTACTTTCTTTATTAAAGATATGACAAGGGCACGTATTTTAAAAAGTTTTTAAAATACTTGCATCATTAACCATCTAGAAGTTAGTCCTCCATTAGAGAATTACCCTTGTTGAAGTTGGACATTGTTGGGCATTTGCACAAAGGTTGAAAAAGAGCCTGATGACAGAGGTTTGACTATTTAAACAAATCCATAATACTTAACAACTATCTAAAGCCTATTATATTTTACTGCTAATTATTTTTTCATTCCACAGATATAAATAATAATCACTGGCAATGTTATATTAGTATATGGAATGCAAAGAGAAAAAAAAAAAAAGTACTTACCAATATTTCCTCCGACCTCATACAAAAAAACTTCCCCCTTTTTGAGATTCTGGGCAACCCCACTATTAGGGACAAACAAAACAAATGGATTAGTTGTATCATCAAACAGCTTGCGAGTAAATCACTTTAATGTGCTTGGGGAATTCTGGCTGGTATGGAAAATTCATAGCTTAAACACACTGTAATTATCTACACGTTTGTATTTTCCCATCTGTTAAATGTGCTGAATCGGTAATAAAAATGTCATACCTGCAAATTGAAACAAATAAGTGGAATCACACATCTGAAGGCAAAATAATAAATTAACATCCAAATTTGTAAAATTAAAGAAAAGTTAACATAATATTTTAGCTGCTAAATTATAAATGATTATCTATGAAATATTTCCACCTTATTTTTCACATTGCATTTATTCAATAAGTAATAACCATTGGTTTGCTTTGCTGACAATACGTCTGCTGTTCAAGATGAACGTGAAGGATAAGATGTGATTCCGTGTTAGCCGCTGCAAAGTGAGAGATGTGTGTACTCAAAACAGAAGCAGACATTATGAAGACAGACTATACCAAATAGGTTGTATTTACAGAGTTACATTCTTCAAAGAATAAACTTTTCCAGATCATTAGGTTCAAAGATAAAAATTGGTAAAACTTAGTAGGTTTCAAATCTTTCTGCGTGAACATTACCTGCTAAAAATTCAGATCTCATGCTCTAGAAATTCAAATGTAATAGATCTAGGATAAAGCCTATGAATCTGCTTTTAAAACGCACTATACTGGGTAGATGTGCATGGAAAGGTGTATGAACTATAGGGACCTCCCATGTGGTCCCAGTCTGCCAAATATAGTATTTTAGCAACAGTCATCACCATAGCTGGGTCAATAATTATTTTTATTTATAATATAGAATATAACACAATAAACTATGTGTTTATAAAAAAGGGGTTATAGGTTTCTATGATGACCAAGTTGAATATTTTGAAAGACTTGATTTTTAAAATATCTGATCACTTCTTGCTCTCACAATGATTCTCAAGTACGTAAATTCTGGCTTTGCCTTAAAAAAAAAAAAAACTTAGTTGGATTTATTGGCATAAGCAAGTTTCTATAAAATGTTAATCAATAAATTCATAATTAAAGAAAAGGTCATAACCCTTTTTCAAAGATTGGTGAATAAGAATTGAATTTGTTGTGCATTTATTTAATGTTGTCTATGTGAACACTGGATTCAGTGGAGAATATGGGGAGAGAAACGATGGAGAGAACCAGAGGTTCTCACAGCCCCAACACAGATAGAATATGAGGTGAAAGCACAGGAATGTGGTGGAAGAAAAAATATAAACATTTATTAAGAATTTACTGGGAACCAGCAGTTAGCGTAATGGCTATGTCACTGGACTCCCATGTAGTCGACCGTGGTTCGTGTCCCGGACATGGTGACTTAGAACTCACGCCGGGCGCGTGTGCGTGCGTGCCCAAGATCCCGAGAGGAGAATGGAGGAGAAGGGATTGCAGCGTGACCATCCCCCCGGGGGCTGATTTCTCGCTTTCTGTCTCTATGTCTGTCTGGCGAGCGCACACGCCCTATAGCGGAAAAAAAAACTCTCCCCCCCCAAAAAAAAAAAGAATTTACTTATTACATGACCCAGACAGCCAGGCTATGTGCTTCGTGGTCATTTTCCTAGTTAATTACGAGGTAGATCCTATTATGGTCTGCTCTTATAAATGAGGAACTTGAGACTTAAAGAGAGTATTAAAACCAACCCAAGATAAAGCAAGATAGCTACTGTCTCTTGAATTCAGATTGATTATCAATCTTTAGTACCCTCAAGCATAAGGAAAGGTGCCCAGGATTGAGGGAGAAGAAGGGAAAGGGAAAGCATTTATAAGACTTCCCTTTGGATAAAGGAGGGTAAGAGAAGGAAAGGTAGAAGAGGAAAGAGTAAGGAAGGAGACAGAAGAAAGCAACCCACTCCAGATGGTAAGCAAATACCTCTTTAATAAAAGCAGCATAAGGAGAGAATTCAAATCTGTAGAAAGCAGTTGTCACAGCTCTGGTACTTTTTCTTTCCTTTCTTTTTTTCTTTTTTTTTTTTTTTTCCTTTTTTAAGAGAGAGATTTTTGATATAGGGCATGTGAAACAACTGAAGAGACAGAGAGAAACAGAGAGACAGAGAGGGAGAAATCACCCCCCAGAGGGCAGAGTCATGATGATGCTGCAATTCCTTCTCTTCCATTCTCCTCTTGGGATCTTGGGCACACATGCACACATGCCTGATGTGAGTTTTAAGTCACCAGGTCCAGGACTTGAACCACAGTTGACCATGTGGGAGTCCAGTGGTGTAATCATTATGCTATCTGCTGGTACCAACACTAGTACTTTCTATAACAGTATGCTTACTATGGTTTTATGCCATACCATACATACTGATGTCAGAATTGATTATATTGTTCAATTTCATGCCACATCTTACATTACCAGCAGAGGACCAAAAGGATAGACTAAATTGAAAGTGAATGCTGTGTAAATTAGCCATGTCTAGTCTGGAAGTGCTACTTCTACATGAAATCTGACTAGATCTTCAGGTATGCATTCTAAGAAAGGATGGGATATCCTGGTGAGAAGAATGCCAAAAGTTGGTATTTACTAAGCCAAGGTGAGCATAGAGAGGAAGTGAATTGAACTTCACTGAAGCTGAGACACTCTTCATAAAGCAAAGACATCTGAGAATTTCCAGCTGTCTCTAGGACTTAATCCTTAGAAATTCCAAATGCCCTAGGACTTCATCTCATAAAATTTCATCCACTCTCAGACTCTACACCAGTGACTCAGATCCACGATAATCTCTAGACCCTCCAGCCAATGTGGAGCATGCTTAAGGAACTGCCTTTGGAGACAGAAACCACAGATACAGAACTCCAGCTTCACCACCTATGACAAATGTGTGACCTTGCAAATCTCAGCTTTCTCATCAGTAAACGAGAAGAATAACAAAACTTACTTCAGAATATGTCATGAAGGATGCTTATGCTGGTTTACTGAAAGCTCAGACATTACCAATAAGCCTCTCTACCATTTCATCACCATCTGTTAGCTGCACAGATTCATCCCTTCTCTCAATTTACAAACCCTGAGGGGAGGTACTTCAAAATATATGCTTATACCCTTTCAACACCTAGCAGAAGGCCTTAAACAGAACAGAAACATACTAAATACTTGTGATACCATATTAAAATTGGAGAAGCTTTGGCAGACAATTTGATCGAAGCCTCTGAATATTAGAATAAGGAGGTTAAATGTAAAAATAAATAAATAAATAAATAAGGCTGAAACAGAGCATTCACAAACTAAGATGCCAGTGCCCCTGATTTCCCTTTTAAAAAAGATTCAGATTAGTTTATGTCGGTAATAGAAATGGAAGAGGGAAAGGGCACTAAAACGTGACATTAGCTAAAAAGGGTAAAAACTGAAAACCCAACACACTTCTTAGAACCTCTAAAACTCAAGAAAAGATATTACAAAATGTACCAGAAAACATATGCTCTAATATTTGAATGGGATTCCATTGGCTATCAGAGGATTCTGCCCATCAACCCCAAAACAGCGGGGAAGGGTTTAGCTGTCCTTGCGCAGGACAGTGCATTCTTCCCCTTGTGTTTTGTAGCTCAAGGGACTCAAGAGCTTCATGCTTTCTGTTCTTAGATTGGAGGGGTTTGTTTGTTTGTTTGTTTGTTAGTTTTACTCTAGGGCATGTGCACTTGCTAGACAGACAGAGAGAGGTAAAGTGAAAAATTAGCCCCCAGAAGGAATGGCCACACTGCGATTCTGTCTCATCTTGGGATTTTGTGCACACGCACGTTTCTCAAGCCAGCAGGTTTGCAGACTAGAACCTCTCAGTCATCCACGTGGGATCCAGCTAACTCAACCTCCACGCCAACCCACTGGCCAGGAGCATTTCTTCTACTTGTTCATTATGTTTCACCAAAAAAAAAAAAAAAAAAAAAAAAAGAGTCTTTCCTGTTTTAATACCATTGTATCATAATCAGTAATTTTCTTAACAGCCTATAAACAATAATTAACCTCTAATCTACATATTCTGGAAAGCACCTTCAGTGGTCCACTTGCCAAGCCCACTGCAGGCATACTGTAGGAACATTCCCATGTACTGCTCTAAACAGGCTCGATTTGAACACCAGCTCCATCCAATGAACTAAACTCACTGCAACTGTCTAATTGTTAAGTCTGCTCCACTCTTCTGTTGGGAAGACAGAAATTTTAAGCATTTCACACTACCCTAAGCAAAAAAAAGGGGAGGGGGGGAGGCAGGGGAAGGAAAGAGAGAGCAAGTGAAATATGCCAAGGAATAATTAAAACAAAACAGGCCCCTACCTTTCTTGGCTGAGAAACCTGGCAAGTACATCACTGGCTTTTAGTTCTTCAGTTAGCTGTATTGCCATGGAAACTTTCGAAAGATGGGGAGCTTGCACTCGAATCACTCCCTGAGGAACGTCAGCCTGCAAAGCAATAATGACACTGGAACAAAGCTGACAGCAGCTGGAACATGTAACTCTGTACAATGCATTATACGGTAAGTGTGCTTAACTACGACGCATTTTACTTCACTACATAAAAACCTTAACTACTGTATAATGTAATTTGCTAAATTACATCAAACCTCAAATATCCTCTTAATGGTGATAGGAGAACTTTATAATGCCTGTGCAGTAATGCTTAATTATTTTTAAAGATGTAAAGAATGACAGCAATAACCATTACTGCCATATTAAGTGCTGATTTCAGGGTATTATCTACTACAGGGTGCTCCTTCATGTAGCAATTTATGAAATTGAATCAGAAAGAAGTAACTTAGTGTGTGATAGTAATGTATAGATTTTAAAAAATCTTCTCCCCCACACACAAAATTAAAAAAAAAATTTGTCCCAAAGTATCTAAAAACAAAATAAAAACATACTTTTCTGATATATTTTTATTGAGTCTGCACCTAAGTTAGCTAATGAGCTTACATTTTTCACTACAACACTTAGAAGTTAAGATGACTAATTCTAATTCTCTTGTCTATGAATGTGAAAAACAGTTTACTTTTTCAAGGTTTGTAATGTCATAATGTCAGCTATGACATTCAAATATTATGCTTAATTAATTTCTAAATGTTTCTGCTAAAATAAATACTAATTTACTATTTATGCCCATATGTCTTAAACAGACTTTAGAACAAACAGAATGCATAAGTTAAAGATAATGCCTCAAGTATTATAAACACCCTGCATCACTACTAAAATTAACCAAGCATCTACTGAATATCAGGTATTTTCCTAGGTCTACTTACCTTGTAGAAAGATAAGACATCAGTCCTTGATTGTTGTACATACAATATTGTTATACACACAATATTGTTATACACACAATGTCACATCCTTTTTTTTAATGTATGTTTTGATGCTATTTATTAAAATGTGATTTTTTTCCTTTTTCCCCCTGTTATGTCATTTTCTTTATGTACAGTCTTGACTTTATTTTTTAAAGCATGAAGCCTTTTTTAAAAAATATAAAGCACAGACATCATTGATTTGCTTTCTTTCAAAGTTAAAACAAAAATAATAGATCTTTAGACGAGGGCTGACTAAAATGGTACATGCTCTTCTCAAAATGTTAAATTGTTTCCTCAGTAACCTTAGAGATTTGCTGTAGGGATAACAGAAAAGAAATGACATTGTACAACTGCACATGGTGCAGGCTACTGTGTAAGGTCATGGACAGTTAGATCTGCAAAGACACCTCGGGGAGTCTGACTGGCAAACTCAGAAAGCCTACCACCAACTGGGAAGCACCCCACCTGCAGCCTTCACCTGACCACTCCGTGAAGGGCCACAGAGCACCACTTACTCCAAACCTGGACTGCAGGGCTTCCCACATGTGATCTTGCAGAGCAAAGAATTCCATTTATAATGTCCTCATCTAACTTCTCTTCAAGGAAAGGGAATATTATCTACAACTTAATTCTGGAAGGATGTCCTAGTTTCAAACTCCTTAGTTCTAATCTCTGCCCAGACCCCTCAGCTCCTGCTTCATCTCTCTATCCAGCAAGGACCCTTGGCTTGGTTTTCTGACTTCTACTTTCTAGGTCATATAATTTGGCCTCATACTTTAGTCTAGTCTTCGGCCTTGACCTAGATCTTGCCCCTAGGGCACAAGTACAATTTACCTTTTTCCTCAATTCTGGGATACTTTTATTTTCATTTGTAACATTTCGGAAAACAAGCTTCTTACAATAGAGGGGACATTTCATGTGGTAGTATAACCACACTATGTTTTTCCTTTCATAGCATTTATTAAGCCAATGGTGTAACTTACAACTCAAGGACTGCATGACCTGCCACCTGAATTTCTCCTTTGGATTTCATCTCCAGCTTATCTCCTGCTATAACCATTCTAACTGCTGGCCTGGCTTCACCTACTCATTTCCTCATAGAAGGTAAAGACAATAAACTTGCACAGAAGCCTTTAATAGTCAAGTGAAAATGGTAATTACAACATTTAAAGCACTGAGATCATGTTCTTAAAGCCTCAGTCAACCTTGACCACTCAGAAAGAGCAACCTATATTGGTGTTTTGGGTTTTGCTATTATTATTATTATTATTATTGCTATTATTTGATTATTATTATTGTTATTATTTGCCCTGAATGGCAAATCAAGGTTTGCAGATAGCCATATCCTTTACACAGATGTTAAAGGCTAGGAAATCCTGATTGTCATAGTGCCAAATATCTTTAAATATAGCTTTTGTTTGATGAAAGCAAGAGTGACAAAGAATAAATTTAATACCTAGTCATAAAATTTTAAAAAGGCAGCCAAATCTATGCTGCCTATTTAAAGGTATGATGTGAGTTAAGCTTTTTCTTAAAGATATGATTAAGTTTTTATACATAGAAGGGTCATAATAAGTGAATTAAAAAACCAAAATGAGCCAGAAAAATAATGTCTTACTATAGTGAATTCAGGGATATGATAACCTTTGTTTGCTTCTTGCCTTTTCCCCCTCTGTTCCTTGTGGCCGATTTTACTCATCAGATAAAAAAGCCAGTCAAAATTCACTACAAACACTTCATGTTTTCTTATCTTTATAGTCTACTCCCATTCTGAAATATCCCCTAGTTGTCTATTATTCAAGGCCTAGCTCAAACATGATGGAAACCTTTCTTCCATGATCCACAAGAGCCAAATGAATTTCTTTTTTCCACTGAGTTTCCTTTATGTTGGAGATTCTAATAAACGTCACCTGAATTCTAGTTATATGCCACATACCCAGGTCATATCTGCAGCCACTCATGAATGCTTACTGATTAACTGAATCACTCAAAAACAGATGCTAATAAAATTTCTCTGGAATAAAAGAAAGTACGCTAATGTGCATTTCCTTAGAGGCAAAAATCATCATGATCATCTTAAGAACATTGTCCACAATAAGCAAGTTGCTGAAATCATATGTTACTTCCTTTAGTACTGAGGATAAATGGAAAGGAAAAGAGAGTAAAGAAAAGGAGTTACAAGTGCTACAAGGAATGGGAACCAGCAGTTAGCGTAATGGCTATGTCGCTGGACTCCCACATAGTTGACTGCAGTTCGTGTCCCAGACCCAGTGGCTTAAAACTCACGCCAGGCATGTGTGCGTGCATGCCCAAGATCCCAAGAGGAGAATGGAGGAGAAGGGATTGCGGCATGACCATCCCCCCAGGGGGGTGATTTCTTGCTTTCTGTCTTTATGTCTCTCTCTGTCTGTCTGGCGAGTGCACGCGCCCTATAGCGAAAACCTCTCCAAAATAAATAAATAAATAAAAGAAATGCTACAAGGAATAATTTATTTATTCCTTCAGAGAGCTAAGGAGAAATGCCAACGTTACCAATATTTATATGTACCTGCTTAAGGAAGTAGTCTCTTTTCTTTCTCTAAGATATATCAAGAAATGCTGAAAGCCTTTAATAATATGACCAAAGGGCCTACAGTTTCTAAATGAGTTTAGAGATCATAGCTGTAGAGAGTACAGCCATAGTTCCCTATAAAATGTAGCATTGAGTTCAGTGTGCTGTTAGGACTTTGCACAGAGAACCACTTCTAACACAGAAATCCGGAGTCTTCCTGATAGTTCAGAGAGTGATAGGAAGAGTCACAGGTACTAGGTTCAGGGGCACCTGTGGATTCCCATGTGTATGTGTCATGTTAGGTGATTGACATGGGACACAGGGGCTGGCCTCTGCCAATATGGAGAGTGACAAGAGTACTCCCCACAGGAACCTTATGGCGTGAAACAGAAGACTTCCCACATCATTTTCCCTTAAAGAGCAGAGGATGAGGTTAGGCCAGTTCTGGCTCAGTGTTAACCCTTCTCAAACTACTACAATAAAAACTTTGACTGTTTTCGCATGGAGTTGGAATGTCAAGGCCCTTGAAATACCTTTCATGAAACATGGCCCCTTCCCAGGCTGACTGGCCACATTTCCTGTATTCCAGGGTATGAGCATGTGAAAGTTTGAGTGTCTGTGTGTGCATGCATGCACGTGTGGATGCATGGTTTGCTTGTCTATAGGGAAGGCACAATTCTCAGCTCATTTCTTTCTCTGGTAATACATCCTACCTCAAGTCTCACAGCAATATAGCATTAAGAGTTTGATTTAATATGAATCTACCATGCCCTTTACCCTTAGAGAAGAAGTGAGTTAAACTGGTAGGTATCATGGTAAAGATGAAGAGCTTAGACATTGTTTCTGGAAAGGTTTTCCTGGGTATCTTGACAAGGGAGGCCAAATGATATTTACATAAAGATGATAAACAATAAATGATGCCAAAGCTCTCGTTTAAATGGTGTATGACAACCACTATTAAGTTCCAGAATTATGCTGTATCTAATACTAAAGCTATTGGTATACTAATTGCATTGAGCTGCCAAGCTTTGAAAAGACACAACATGCCTGATCATTAAGCCAAACAGTCTGTTCTTAACTCAAGCCATAATAATAGCTGAATCTGTGCATACTATTATCTTTGTAACTTTCCTTTTTCATGTTTTTTGGTCTAACATCTGTCACCATTCCCTACATTTTTGGATGAGGTGGGACTACACTTGTGAACGGAGGTTATGTGGTATACAGCAGGAGTAGAGAAGAACTGTACTTGACTAACATATCATTAAATTTTAACCACAAAGGATTTTACAACTTACAGAATGTTAATTTCTTATGCACACAGAGATTGCTGTAAAAGAGAAAATGATCTCATATGGTCCTCACATGTTTTACATATTAAACTAAAGCACATCCGATTTTATTTTTTTATTATTTGATTAAATAAAAATGATTTTGTTACTTTTTATAAGGTGCAAATGAACACTGCATTACTCATACTTCTGCAATATACAGGTTAGAAATTTAAGTGTCAGACTTTTAAAAAAGAGACATTCATTTCTTTTTCTTTTTTTATTAAAAGCTAATTTAAATGT